GAAAGTGTTTAACAGAGGGAATAAATCAGCTGATAAGTATGGTCGTTTTAACATTATTTCTAATGGAGGATGTTTTAGGTTGAGCTCATTTTAACGTTTTTATATCCAGTTGGGTAGTTTAATCTGTAGCAATGCATCAAATTCTACATAATCGGCATGTTTAAACTATTTTAATGTACAGTATATGTTACTGTAGACAAAATGTGTATTGTACTCTATATTGACAAAAGTTTTAGGACACCCCTCCAAATCACTGAATTCAGGTGTTCCAATCACTTCCATGGCCACAGGTGTATAAAATCAAGCACCTCGGCATGCAGACTGCTTCTACAAACATTTGTGAAAGAATGGGTCACTCTCAGGAGCTCAGTGAATTCAAGCGGGGTACCGTGACAGGTTGCCACCTGTGCAAGTCCATTCATGAAATTTCCTCACTACTAAATATTCCACAATCAATTGTTAGTGGTATTATAACAAAGTGGAAGCAATTGGGAACAACAGAAACTCAGCCATGAAGTGGTAGGCCACATAAAAATCATAGAACGGGGTCAGCACACGCTGAGGTACACAGTGTGCAGAAGTTGCCAACTTTCTGAATTAATAGCTACAGACCTCTAAACGTCATGTGGCCTTCGCATTAGCATCCAAGCCTTACATCACCAATTGCAATACAATGCGTCAGATGCAGTGGTGTAAAGCACGCCACCACTGGACACTAGAGCAGTGGAGACGTGGTCTCTGGAGTGACGAATCACGCTTATCTGTCTGGCAATCCGATGGACGAATGGGTTTGGTGGTTTCCAGGAGAACGGTACTTGCCTGACTGCATCGTGCCAAGTGTAAATTTTATGGCGTGGGGGTGTTTTTCAGGGGTTGGGCTTGGCCCCTTAGTTCTAGTGAAAGGAACTGTTAATGCTTCAGCATACCAAGAGATTTTGTGACAATTTCATGCTCCCAATTTTGTGGAACGCCTCACCACATCCAAAACTCCACTGACTTTATAAACAAAACTCGAGGACTGAAACTGGACCCAGATGAAACCATGGTGTGACCTCTTTGTCCACCGGCATCCCCACCATAGAAGCAGTAGAAACCGCAAACGGCTAACACAAGACAACATCCTGGACAACAGAACTAGCCTCAGCCCACATCTGTAAATTACTCGACCTCTGTCTAAACACCACCTATTTCCAGTACAACGGAGGATTCTACAGACAAAAGCATGGCTGTGCCATGGGCTCACCGGTTTCCCCTCTTGTGGCAAACATCTACATGGAAGAAGTGGAGAACAAAGCCCTCAACTCACAGGTATGTGGACAACACCTGGGTCGAAATCAAAAGCCAGGAAGTGCAAGCCTTCACAGAACTGCAACTGTGTGGACAGTAACATCAAGTTCACACGAGAAGATGTTCACAACAACAGTTTGGCCTTCCTGCACTGTGCTGTACACACTGAAGAGGACACAGAAAACCCACACACACAGACCAATACCTACTCTTCGATTCCCACCACCCACTGGAGCACAAGCTAGGGGTCATGAGAACACTGCACCACAGAGCGGAAAACATACCAACAAGCGCCCAAGCCAGAGAGAAGGAACAGAACCACCTGAAGGGGGCACTTACAGCCTGTGGATACCCTAAATGGACCTTTGTGAAAACAGCCACAAGATCCAAGAAGAACAAAACTACAGGGGAGGAGGAAAAGAAGGTCAAACGCAACAACATTGTGATTCCATACGTGTCTGGAGTATCAGAGAAACTCAGGAGGATTTTCAACAAACATCTCTGTGTTTTTAAAACCCAAGAACACACTAAGACAGATGCTGGTACACCCCAAAGACCGCACACCCAAACACAAGAAAAGCAATCTAGTGTATGCGGTCCAATGCAGTGAGGAATGCACAGACCTGTATATTGGGGAGACTAAACAACCACTACACAAACGCATGGCTCAACACAGAAGGGCCAACTCCTCAGGTCAAGACTCTGCAGTCTACTTACATCTGAAGGACAGAGGACACTCGTTTGAGGACCACCAGGTGCACATTTTAGACAGAGAAGATGGATGGTTTGAAAGAGGTGTCAAGGAAGCATCTACACCAGGGTTGAGAAGCCGTCATTGAACAGGGGAGGGGGTCTACGCCACCACTTATCCCCCACTTACAATGCTGTCCTTTCATCACTTCCCAGGAAACTCAACAAACGTAACCTCTTGGCCTCAGGTGAAGATACCAACGATGGTCGTTCAGTCTTGGCCTCGGGTAGTCCTAACGACTGTAACGACTGTCGTTACAGCAACCAGGAACACTAACGAACCAGCGGTATCCTGGCAAACGACCCCACAGAGGTTAAATAGTTGAGTTTCCCTACTAGTCAGTCAGACCTGAAGAATTCTCTCAGATGAGGGATGAAAAATCTTTTTGTATCTTCAACCAAAGTCCAGTTGCCCTTGACTTTAACTTTCTTTGGATAACTATGACCTGGATGACTCAGAACCTTTAAAGACTTCTAGAAGAATGGTCAAAAATTCCCAAGAACCCAAATTCTAAACCTTGTGGACAGCCTTCCCAGAAGAGTTGGAGCTGCAAAGAGTATGGACTCCATATTAAACCCTACAGATTAAGAATGGGATGTCATTAACCTTCATGTGCATGTGAAGACAGGTGACCCAAAACTGTTATAATATAGTGTATATCATGGAATGGCTGAAAAATATGGAGATATTATTTATAAGCCATTTTGCACAGCACTAACATTCACCAATAACAGGTTTTTTTTCATTATTTCATAGTACTTTTCATCACAATGTCTTTGTCAGTCAAAACAAACCCATGTGATTATCTGTTGGCTCAATCAGACTGAAGCAACAAGTTGTGTCTCAGTACTGAAGATCCTGCCAATGTAAAGCTGATTTGGGAGTTAAACAATTGCCCTTTTCAATTTGAGTCTACTGTGATAATCAACAGCTTTCCTTTAAATACTGTTAACATTTCTGAAATGTTTAAATTGAATCTCAACATTTATTTTTATTGAGCTGTTAATCTGTGTGAGATTAATGGTGCTGTTACTCAGAGTAAGCCATTCTGCTGCCCGAGGGTGGAGCCTTACCAACTTGCTTGGCCTCCACAGCAGCAGTGTACTGGCTGCTGAAGCTCAGCTCAGTGATGGACACATCATCAAGAATAATGTTGAAGTCTTTTGCTCTCTCAAACAGCTCCCTGCGCACCAGCAATGACACCTAGACAATCAAACAGACCAACAATATTCAACACGTGACAATATCACACAGATATGGACTGGAAAGTTTTGAGGCAGTGGTGTATAGTTTTCTATATTGGATTGCATTATATTCTGAGGTCTTTGGACACCTGACACAGTAAATAGTCTAAAAAGTGTTAAAAAAATATTAGTAACATTTGATTATTGCTAGACCTGTTCAAGTGAAAATGTATATATAAATACAGACTGGGATAAAACAAATATCACAGGCATACATTCCAGCAGAGTGTACAGAGATGTTAGACAGTAGTGACGACAGTACCTGTGCTCTCTGTGTGATGAGCTGCGAGGCGTTAAACTTTGCCACCACAGACTTGAGGACCTCGTTGACGATGGAGGGCAGGACTCTCTCATCGTAGTCCTTCCCCAAGTGTTGGTACATGACCGGCAGGTTTGAAGCTAGGGGCCTGGACAACACCCGCACTGCTATGTTCACCATCTGCAGATCTACACACACACACACACACACACACACACACACACACACACACACACACATGATACCTTGGTAAAATGAATACTGACCAGCCTCTGACTGCGGTTGGGATATCCTTCTGCTCTTTCTGAGTAGGAGTTTGTTTCTTTTACTGCACATCACAGAGTCATCTGTATCACATTAGTTTACATTCTACCAACTACCAGTTTGTCCATCTGAAGTCTGTTTCATCTTTACATATTAGTGCCCTTTTCTGGTGCAAATCATCTTTATATCCAAAACCTTCTCAACACTGAGAGAACACAGACACTCAAATAAAAGCCAAAATTTGTCAGTTAATACAAGAAGCTATTGAGAACAAAAACAGAAAGATGACAATGATAAAACTTACACACAGCCTACAAAGCCATGCTCACACTAACATTACAGCAGGGCTATTCAATTGCAAACTCAATTGGGCCAGATTTCAAAGATGAGCCAGACATTTTCTCACGAGCTGGGATGGTATCATTAGAATTTTATTGATATGCTCTTATTGATACTCCTTTTTCGTTCAGTTCTTTATCGATACTCTTATTCTTTTTCATTGCATAAAAAATGCCTTTTCAAAAATATATTATTTTCAAAAATAATTCAATATATTATTGTAACTAGATATTGTTTGTAGAGCAGCAACAGGATTTCCAACAGTCACTAATACATTGCTGGAAACAAATCTAACGTCAGTAAAATAAATCATATTCCTGACATCAAAATACTGAGTGAAGTTTTGAAAAAAAATTATGAACTCATCCCTATCAGTCCTTCCTCCTGTCCCCCCCCCCCCCCCGGTTTGTCTCAGACAGTACCTGAGTTTATATGTGCCATATTTTAAGCTATGTTGCAAACTAAACAGTTACTAAAGACAGACAGCTTTCACTTTAGCTTGTTTGTAACAATAACTTATTAGCCGAGCTAGTGCTGTGCTAAAACCAAAACACAGCTGTGGTGGATGAGAGACTGAGCAGATTAAAATATTATGTTATACTGTACATGTTTATGCTAAACAGGTGTATTGATAAAGTTGTCTTTTTCCTCGCAAAGATTTATTGCACTACATGTTGTGTTCACATACAACACCAAGCGAGCGTTTTGCGTGGCTTGATTACATAAAAAGTCAATACAAATTAATGTGAATTCCCGGGCAGTGCAGAAGATGCATTTGTTGTGACAGTTGGCTTGTTCGCTCGAGTTCCAATTTTTTTTTTACTTTAACTTGAGCGAGAAATTCACATGATGCTATGTTGCGAAAGCCTGTCAGCGGTGAGACTGTCCGGACGTCACCGACGGAGGAAAATAGAAAATAGAAGGCCAATTGTAACTGTGTGCAGACTTAATGTGGTATATTCTTCAATGGAATCCCGGAGTCTAATAGGAAATGGTCAAGAATTTAAAAGGTTTGTTGATGAATTTAAAGAAGCACCAGAATTGATATGTATCCAAGAGACTTGGTGAAAGCTCTAGATTTTGTAATCCCAGTAATTTGTAATCGGTTTATTGTACTAACAGACCTTCCAAGAAGCATGTGCCCCAGTTGGTAAGTGAAATCCTAGTACTTTTTTAATGCGTTGTTAGCAATAAGTAGCAGGTATCGGTACATTACATTCATGTCATTAGCTTAGCCATTTAACTAGCTAATTAGCCAGCTTCAAGCAAGACAAGCTATGCTAACGATGCTCAAAAAAAAAAAACAGTAGTGTAACATAATTGCCTCTTTGCTAAGCCCCGCCCCCTTAGCTACTATTACTGCACTCCCCGGAGAAATATTGTCAAATTTGTTGGAAAATCTCAGAAGCGATCTCAGAAAGAAGACAGTTTTGCAGTTGCATTGTGCATTTAAATGTTTTATTGAGGCTGTCAAACTGATGTGAAAAAAATGAAAGAAGAAGCTTAAATCTACCAATCACACAGTAAAAGTGAACCACCATATTACCTGACGATTGAGAAAGAGGACAACGATATTAAGGATCAACACTGTTCCTGTAAAGCTGGGTAGGCATCTATTCATTATTACAATCATTACAAAACAGTAGGGTTTTATTACGTTACATTCAGAAGGAAGTTAGCGAGCGTTAGCTAACCACTACAACTCCTCCTAGGGATTTAGTCTGATCAACTTCAAATTTTTGCTGTGCAGTCCAAACCCATTGGTTTGGTCGATTAAAAGTTATTCAAACAGTTCCTACAAGTCGACCAGTTTTCCCATGGTGTGTAATCAAAAATTGGTGATTTGCCATGAAACAGGAAGTTGTTATAACTTCAGTACACATGCTCACATCTGCACCAAATTTGAATAGTGTAACAATAGTCCAACCCTGAACAAATCCATATGCCAATATTCACTCAAGTCACAGCGCCACCTGCTGGCAACAGGAAATGACATGTTTTACACTGTAATTTACTACTCCTAGCAGGTTGAATACATAAACTTCAAAACTATCCCAGAAAACCCTTAACAAATCGATGAGGTCATGACGTAAAACCTGTGAGTTTTCGGTTTGGTGGCGTGGCTTCGAAGTCCCACACTTCGCCATGACACAGGAAGTTGTTGTAACCTGACTGTACAAGCTCAGATCTGTACCAGATTTTACACATTTAATAAGAGTCTTGCCCTGAACACATGTTCAAGACAACATTCACCCATAGTCATAGCGACCACCTACTGGCAACAGGAAGTGACTTTCAACGCAGCAGTGAGTTTTCGTGAATCGGTGTGCCCATGGCATGGCGTCCAAAGTCGATGATTCGTCATGAAAGAGGAAGTTGTTGTAACTTCAGTGTACATGCTCACATCTGCACCAAACTTTACGTGCTTGATAACAGTCCCATCATCTGCATGTTCAGTTATAGATGTAGTGCGAAGTGCTAAGTAGCGCCACAAAGGGGACACCGGAAGTTATGATTAACATCTTTGTGCAGCGTCCGAAGCCCTTGGCAAATTCACAGCCACACCGGCAGAGCTCCAGAATCTGCAACGCGGGTGCCTCACACCTCGATGCACTACATGTGCGAGGGCCCAACCAACACTGCTTGCAGCTTTAATTTAAAGTGATCTTATCAATACATTCACAGAGATTTAAAAAGGAAAATAATTATATTAAACATAAATAGCTAAATTACACAGAATCAACCAACAAAGCAAACTGCATTCCCTAGAAATAACCTGCTGCACAACAGCTGTTTCTAACCTGATTAACAGCAGATTAATTATATTTTTAAATATATACACTTTTACTTGAGTATGTTTGTCATTTTTCCTTTTACTTATTATGGGAGTAATTGTACTTTTCCTTGAGTAAAGATTTTGAGTAGCTACTCTACCCACTACTGGCCAGCGGTACCAGTACTGATATGGTGAATGTGAGACAGACAGAGATGAGGGCAATGGCAGAACAGAGTCAAAGCCACAGTCCAAATCATCAGTTAATTTTAAGTTTGATGATGATATGGATATTTATTTATTGTATTCAAGGGCTCAGCTGAGTTGATTTCTGTACTTTAGGAGAGTTAAAGAGGTGTTTCTAGTTTTGAAAATGTATTTTAAAGGTTCATTTAGTGATGTACTCGCATAAAATTCTCAAGAATGCAGGAATAAAGGTCTCTAAAGACCCAGAGCACCTGACAAATGCTTTGTCTGGAAAGTGGGCTGACCAGGGATTAACTCTTAGGCCATTTTTCTGCCTCTGTCCGTGACCATCTTTGACCTTAAAAACCTGTGTCCTGAGGTGTGTATGTGTCTCTGCTACATGTCCATGAACAATTTGAATGTAGTCAAAATGTTCACACAGAGATGAGCATCCTACAGTATTTTAAGAGGAAGAGGACAGCGGTCACAGGAGTAGGAGTAGGAGTAGAAAAAACTGTATGGGTAAAAAAAACTGTACATCCAAAGTATGGGATTATTTCAAGCTAAAAGAAAACAACAACTCTGTAATGTCGCAAATTTAGCATTTTACTGAAATCATGATTGATTGTTGAGTTGAAGGCTAGCCAAAGTAAGCCACAATCCTCAGCTGAAAATGTACACACGTGCGTTTGCCGCCACCACGCAAAAGTACTTCTTAAACGACATATCGATGAATCTATAGAAGCTTCAAGTACTGAAATCATCGTTAGCTGCAGCCCTAATTTATTGCGACCTCTGGGGAGGTCTTGTGTGGCTTACACGGTGTTGATGAACCTATTTACCACAGGGGCATTCGATCAGCTCTGAGACCTCAGAATTGCAAAGTCTCAAATTATGATCTAGTTGGATTCATAACTACTCGGTATGCAGGTCATTCTTCGTTTCAGCACTTACACATAGGTTGGTTTGGATGTGTGCTCGTTCTTTTATGTTTAAACTAGACAGAGTAGCAGACAAGGCACTCCTTTAACTTCAGGCTCTGGTACTGGGTATAAGGGTCCTTATTTTGTCTTTAAGTATAAGGTAGAAAGTGGAAATACTACTATACAAAGAAATACACATGGACTGTATACACTACACTTACCATCAGGGTTGGGGAGTAACGGATTACATGTAACAGCGTTACGTAATCAGGATACAAAAATAAAGTCATTGTATTCCGTTACAGTACAGCAAATAAAGACATAATCAGATTACAGGTACATTTTGTAAAAATGGGGATTACTCACAGGGATTCCTTTAAGCATAAAGTTTCCATGAAACAGAAAACGGAGTGCTATTTGCCATTTACATGTTTGTTTCCTGTAAAAACACAAAGCTAGGGAGGGATTTGTTGCAGATACTGACTGGCGTGTAGCCAGTAGTTGAATGTGGTTACAGCCCCACCCAGTCATGCAGACTGTGCGGACTGATTCCAGCTCCCAGTGAGTGAAAACGGCAGCCAAACCCAGGACCACACACGGCCTCCGAGACGGACAGAGGCCAGCCTGACCACTAGGAATGCAGTACGAAGGTGGTTTTCTTGCCAGTTTGTCCCGGGGCTGAGTCAACTAATGAGGCTGTGTT